AGTTAACCCTCTATGCTCGACACTTACGGCATTACCCTGATAACCAGCCAGATGTTCGTAAAAGGCCATCCTCCCTGCAACGTTCTCTATTCACTCGTGATATCGGGGTGGGGGGAAAAAGAGAAAAAGTGCAGTCAAGGATAACGCGATATCGATTCCACGTTTCGTGTTCAACATTCGAATAAAAAGTAGAACGAATTCCATTTGCAATTTCAATATAATTGACACGGTTTGCGTATGTATAGGTAGTTGTGTACGTATGTAGTATAACTTGAATATAGTGATCGATACTGTAAATTTCTGAAAGGGAAGTCAGAGCGTCGATGGTATTAATCTTTTTACTTTTGCGCCGAGTCTCGAGCATAAAGTCTCTTCTATTGACGGCAATAAGCATAAGTGAGATCTGGATGGGATAAAAATTTATAAATAAACTCGTAGATACGAGTGATTCATAAAATTTCATATTTATTCGGAATATTTAAAGAAGGAAATCAAACGTCTTTCTTACGTTATGCGATGATTAAATGAGGATTAAAATTATTTTTAGGATTAAAATAATTCTTCGACTAAAATAAAATACTTGTATTAAAATTATTGTTTTTTTTTTTTTTTAATTATATATATTATATTCTAATCTCTGTAAAAATCTTCTTCTTCTTCTTGTTTCAATCTAAAGTTCTGTTCTGATTAGCTACACTGCATTGATATCAACTTAAGTATAAGATGAAAGTAGTTCACTAGAATACAGTTTATTATGGCACTTACCGTAACTTTAATTATTTTCACTAACAAGAAGATTACAAAACTTTCGTATTTCCTAGATTAGATTGCAACTTTGACTACTATAAATTTTACTACGGTGAATTTTGTTATTCTGTATTCAAAACTACTACTTATTATATGAATATTTAATATTCAATATTCTTTGGAACACACATTAAAGAGTTAATCAAACAGTGCCCTGGTAAATTTGGGTTTACACGTTGGCACGTTATACAAGACAGAGGTAACGTGATGAAATTCTACAAACAATAAAACTTAAATAAACTTGCGATGAAATTCAAAATTCAATGACAAAATTTTGCCGATGAATAAATGACCAAAACGAAAAGCGAAGAAGAGTGTACGAAAGTGAAAATAATTAAACCGATAAGAGGGGAGATTAAATCGACGAGAAAGGAAGTTAAGGGAGAAGCGTGGACCTCCATCGCGAAGATGGGCTTACGTGTAAATCTTTTTCCCTCCCCCCGCGTTGAGCGCAGGAAAATATCGAGTGTCAATATTTCACCGGCACAATGGATCGTCACCTGTCTGTAGCAAACTGCAAGGAATGCATCGAAAGTGCACTTGGCCGTCGGCGATCTTTGCACGCTGCCATTGTACGAAGTGCAACTGCTCCACCCAATATATATATATCCGATGTTTGTGCACTCGAAATATAAGAAATATACTTTAATCAAAGTGAGCTCAATGATAAAGTTTATTGAAAGTTGTATGAATTAATATTCTTCCTTCCTGCACTTGTTACGAAGACTCGTCAAATTGTCGTCGATACGAAAAGTTGAATTTCTATTAATTTCTTCTAAGAGGTAATGATTAATATATTTTTCTCGAGGATAAAATGATCGAGATCGATATCGAGAAGCTTATTCGAAAGAAACGCTTGCGAGATAAAACCTATTATTGAAGAGAGATTTGTCAAAAGATGAAGGCTTTTTTAATTTTCTTGGAGAAAGATATGTGAACAAGGACGAATCTTTAAAGAATAATTCGTTTTGTTTAAATTCGGATATTTTGAGACAAAAATTTATACGTGTCGTAAAACCACGATCGTCAAGTAGCCGTATTTTATGAGATAACTCAATTTTACGTACGTAAATTAAACAAAAGGCGAAAATTAATTAATTTTTAACTAGATATAAAAATCACTTAAAAAGAACGAATAAGAATAAATTATGTTATTTCTTAACGTTTCAATCGACGGTTTCAACAACAAATCATATTCTCCAGTGCTGAATCGCAAAATTCTAAATTTCGTCAGAATCCTCGATGATGGAAAACATTTAATACCAACAATCATTGATTCGACGTCCAATTTAAAAAAAAAATTTCCTACAATCCTAAGATTTTAAACTCATAATAATACAAAATTACACACACACACACATATACATTCCGTTTTGTAATATTAAATACAATTAAAATAACGAAGTGCATGCAATTGCAAGAGAAAACGAACGCATCGATTATAACAATTCCAACTATTTCACGTGTTATAAAAAAGAAACAAAAAGCAAAGATTGTAGTAGGGAAAAAATAGTCAGTCGTCCATACATACGTATCTATATATATATAACGTAACCCAGTTTCGATTCGCGAGAGACACGAGCTCCCGCGAAATTCGCATTCGGAGATACAACCAACCGCGGTGGGTTATTCGCGAAATTTTAACCATGCCGTGTACGATCGGCCAACATGGTGGTTGCCAAGCTTGGAAATTGACTCGAGTAATTATACGCGCGTGAGCGCCCTCTTGGAACTCGACACGCGCCACTAACAGTCGAAGCATCGTTTCCAACTTTTCTTCCATTCTGTGATTAACAACCAAAAGCGTGATATAATGATGGAGAGCATTTGGAACGAGCGTGACAAACACTTTTTTGAACGAGATGGTTGGTATCGAGAATCCTGGTCAATTCTTGTCAATAACGCTTTAAATTGGTAACAGGATATATTTTAAAATGTTGAAGCAACGAAGTCTACAAGTCGTAACTAATTTATTTATTTTAAAATAAATTAATTGTTGCCTGTACTCATGAATTGAAAAATAAATAAAAAAATTAATTAAATAATAGTTTAATTTTTAGAAAGATCGTGAATATTGTCATGATTCAAGAATGATTGAAAAACACTATGATAAAGTATTGAACTATATAAGTGTTATAATACATTTTATCCATTATATGAATTTCGATGTCAAATATTTGACGAGATGAGATGAAAATGAATAAAATCTTGGTAACGTAACCCAGTTTCGATTCGCGAGAGACACGAGCTCCCGCGAAATTCGCATTCGGAGATACAACCAACCGCGGTGGGTTATTCGCGAAATTTTAACCATGCCGTGTACGATCGGCCAACATGGTGGTTGCCAAGCTTGGAAATTGACTCGAGTAATTATACGCGCGTGAGCGCCCTCTTGGAACTCGACACGCGCCACTAACAGTCGAAGCATCGTTTCCAACTTTTCTTCCATTCTGTGATTAACAACCAAAAGCGTGATATAATGATGGAGAGCATTTGGAACGAGCGTGACAAACACTTTTTTGAACGAGATGGTTGGTATCGAGAATCCTGGTCAATTCTTGTCAATAACGCTTTAAATTGGTAACAGGATATATTTTAAAATGTTGAAGCAACGAAGTCTACAAGTCGTAACTAATTTATTTATTTTAAAATAATTAATTGTTGCCTGTACTCATGAATTGAAAAATAATAAAAAATTAATTAAATAATAGTTAATTTTTAGAAAGATCGTGAATATTGTCATGATTCAAGAATGATTGAAAAACACTATGATAAAGTATTGAACTATATAAGTGTTATAATACATTTTATCCATTATATGAATTTCGATGTCAAATATTTGACGAGATGAGATGAAAATGAATAAAATCTTGGTGGAAATGTTAACATGGAAAAAAATGGGAATTAGATGAACAATTTGATGAATCCAACTAGATTAACTTTCAAAAATAATGCATATTACAAGTTAAGAGCAGTATTTATTATCATGTTATTGATAAATTTATCAAGTTTGTATAACAATAATTTTATGTACTAATTAATTGTTAGAATCACTACACATGCCCTTTATGCGATTAAAAATTTTGACGATAACGTCAATTAGTATTTCAGCTTTCGAAATCGATCACGAAACGAGAAAACAATTTTGTTCGAGACGAAATTAGCCGTAAACTTGACTCTCGGTGTAAAATTTCTGCGGTCCCAACTAGAGTTCATCGATGCTCACCAACAGCGCAACCAAGTTTATTTCGTAAAGTACACTCCAGTAATTACAACCGAGTTCGAGTAGGTATTTGATTTCGAGATTATGTTTACACGATCATCCATTAAAACTTTAGAAGAGTTAAAATTCGATCCTATATACGTCGGGCGAATTAGCCGGAAGTGCAGTTAAAAAATATAAAAATATAAAAATTTTTTTGCGAATTTGAAAATATATAATTCTAATTTCGAAAAGATCTTTCATTCGTCCTACAATTTGCATACTTTTATATATATTATTCTCGAACATACATTGATTTTATTATTGAGAATATTCGTACGCATAAATAATAATTTATTTATACATTTTTGTATATATTTAATTAATAATAATATATTCTTCAATTTTCTAAATTGTTCTTTATATTCATACAGCACAGCATTCTGTTTATTTACTTGAAACGTTTAATTAAAAATAAAGAAATAAATCATCGTAATATAGTAGCGTAGTTTCATGCATTTTCATAAATTTTTCTATGTTATTTTAAAAATTATATATTATACTCGTACATATTGATAAAACAATATATTTGATAAAATCTTGCAGAGTAATTTCTAGATTCAATATTTTCTTCTCAAATAAAATTTTTATCGTATAAAATAATTTCTTATTCCATAAATTATGTCGAACAATCTAAAATCTGAATTTATCGAAAAAAAATCTCCTCGTTTCGTGTTTGCTTTCATTACACAAATTCTCTTCTTCGTGCAAAAGAAGATGAAAAATCGTCAAATGGAAGTCGTCATCGAAATTGTGTTTAACAAAAATCAATCTCTCCAATAACATTCCAATCGATCCAAGATACAAACGTTAAACGGGCTCACGTTAATCAACATCAAAACTTTTGACGAGCAAAACGCCCTCTACAGAAATACTACGAGAGATAATTGAGCAGGGAAGAGACAGAGACGATAATAGTTCCAGTTGTGTAACAAAATTACGTGTTACGTAAGAAGGTGAAATCCTTTGTGAAGCGCTACGGAAACCCGCAATGAACACGCGAGAGTCACAAGGGTTTCGAATGAAATTTCATCGGTTCGCGATTTACAGCGGTCATCCACGAGGATTGGTAACAGCGCCCTCTTCCACCTTCGTTAATCCGGCGAATTTCCGTTAACGTGATTTTCGAAGCCGCAATTGCATCGAGGGAGAACCGGCGCATGCGAAGAGGGTCCTTCAGCTGTTTGAAAATCAACCGTCTGTCCCTTTGATTTCGCAATATGAACAGCTGAATTGCGCAACGATCCGAATGGATTTCGTTAGAACGGTTACACGCCGTAATAATGGCCGGGATCGAATCTATCTCTCTGTTGTGAGTCGGAATGCGGCTCTGAGAAGATGCTGAATATCGAGCTGAATGATGAAGGAAATTCGAGGAAATGTATGCATTTGTAATACATTGAACGATTGCAGAATGGATTAAATTCGAGGAAAGATGAAATGATTATTATGTGATACGTTGAAAATTATTATACGATGCGATAAATTGAGAGGAAACGATTTGAGTGATGATCGAGTGATTATTGTATGTTAAGGTTAAATAGCATAAACTATTTTGTTGAAAAAATAAATTGGAAAGTAGATGAATATGAGTTCTTTTTTTTTTACTTAAAATTTTGTTTTCGAGTAAATCAAGTTCGAAAAATTTTCATATTGTGTGATATTTCCTATAAGATATTCCGAATGAGATTATGGATGGAAAGCAATTCTGAATTAAGAGAAAATAATCAAGAAGTATAGAATAATTTCTTAATATGTGTAACTCGAAACAAGCAACTTAGAAAGAATTAAAAGCACCATTTTTAAACGAAGATCTTTAAGTCTTAATTGTTATTGTATATAAATTCTTCTATTTGTTTTAGAATCCATCTCTCATGAATATTCAGTATAACGAGACATCTCTATGATTCTAGATTCTGGAACAAAGAAATTTGTTTTTGAAAAATTCGTACACTTAACTTCAAGAAGATCTTCAGAATTTCTTCAAATATACGAAGTAGCTCTCAATTTTCCTCAACTTTTCGCATACTTCCTCCGATTCTTCTTTTCGCAACTGCTCGATCAACGACACGATTCTGGTGAAAAATCGACAAATTAGACAATCTCAACATCCTAATAAATCCCAAATCATATTAAAACACGTAACAATCAAACTTTCCAACTTTCCAAATTCTGCATCATAAAATAAACACATCACTCGACCGTTTCTCCTTTCGAATCGAATCCAGTATCGCAATTCCATGCCTGCACAGATCTACAATTTCACCGGAAAAACAATTCTCCTCTTAGCAATCGGACACCTTTGCGGTATCAGTTTCGCGGATCCACTCGAGGCGAAAGCGGGCGATAAGCGGTGTCAAAAACAAAAGTGCACGCGACAAGAGTCATCCCCGCCCGCCGGTCATCGGTATTCCGGCCGATCCTCTATTAATTTTCCATTGTACTCGATCGGGCCAACGTTTCTATTTATCCACACGGTCGAACGATGTCACTCCCTGACGATGCTTTCGCGGCATTGTCAGGCGGCACACGCGACTTCCACGTCAACGTGATGCGAAAGCTGATTCCCGGAACGGGCGCTCGATCAGAGAGAGAGAGAGAAAGAGTCTATTGCATTCTCAGCGTTGCCCTTCTTAACGTCGCGGAGGGCTTCCTCACGCAGACAACTCGATTCTCCTGGTTGATATTAACGTCGACCCGATCGTGGTCTGGATCTGGATGTAGTTTCGTGCCTGTCGGTGTGCCCTAAATTGTGGGTAAATTGTGGTAAAATGGGGGTTAGGTGAGAGCTGAATTTTGATCGGTTTGGTGAGGGATTGCGACTATTAAAATACGTATAATGTACGTATGAGGGGAATATATCTTTTCATTTTTGTGATTAGTGATTTAAGTAAACTTGTTTTTTTTTTTTTTTAATTGAGCAGTTTTAAAGAATAGTGAAAAGGTATAAAATAGAATGATTATAATTTTATAATAAAGAAAGATTTTGCAAAGGGAAATAAGAGAGAAGAACATGGAAAAAGAAATCAGACAGGAAGAAAATAGAGGAGAAAATCCGAAGCGTAAGGTGGAAAGTAACGAAAAGTGAAAATGAAAGCGAAGATCAGGTCAGCGTGGATTAACCAGGCTCAAGCGAAATCTTGAAAGAAAGATTAAGAGGTGGAAAAAAGATTAAGAGTAGGAGAAGTTGGAAGAAACTGAAACGGAATAAAGAAATGGCGAGCAGAACTTGGTTACTAATACAATGTGTACGAGAATTATCTAAATTCCAATTTGTGAGAGAAATATAAAAGAGAATGTATACAGAAAAGAATTTTTTGATTAAAAATAATAAAATTGAAATGCAATAATATAAAACTATCTTCTTCGTATTATCTTTCGTATTAAATTACAATTTTCGAAGGGCAAACAATTGATTTATTATCGGTAAGAGCATTATTGCTTGTAAAAAATCTCGAATATTGAACAAGCTATGATTTTAATAAACTTGAACACTTTTTTCCTTTCTTCAGTATCTTATCGTAAGTAAATTGTAAACTATGTGTCTATTTACTCAGTGTCGGCTTAATAATTTTTCAAAAACCCTAGGTAAAATTCCTTTGCGTCAGTTGATTCTTTTATCGCAAAGCAATATTTTGTTATCTTCCCGTATTTTTCCTTCTAATATCAATTTGTATGCGAGAGATTATTATTTTCAAGGTTGAATGGTTATTGGATTCCGCACAGCCTCTTATTAGAATTAAATATGCTACGATATTGTTATTAACACGTTGAACGTGTATTGCAATTCGTGCACGACATATTTTGGATACAACAGGAAATGAACAACAAAATATACAGTGCACACAAAAATATATGTCGACTTATATGAAATTATTACATAAAACAAGTGAAATTATCTGCGTAACGATTGGTTGATTGTCGAGAACATTGCATTCATTGTTGCCACTGGAATGGAATATTTCCATTAAAAAGTCTTCAGAGCTCTATATACCTTTTGCAATTCTCGACATAAATTATTACCAGACCCAAACATAAGGTAGTGAATTACGCAAATTTCAATTGTTGCGTCATAACACCAGGAAAATAAACCGAACAAACGATTCCAATTTAATTCCCAGTTATAAAGGTTGGCCAATTGTGACTCGTTTCAAATAAATTCATTGATAGTAATACGTTGATATTCTTTTGTTCGCAAAAAAGCTTTCAACTGTTCTCTTTGATAATACTCTCTTAACTAACTCTATTCACTTATTGGCTCGCCTTTATTCTGTGGGGAACGTTTTAAATATGCTCTAGACACGAAAGTTCTCTCTCACTATTAAGTATGGCACTCGTGGAATAGTTAAATATGGTGGTGCTACGATCGTTTTAACCTTATTAACCTGATACGTTAATAGATTTTTAAAAGTCAAATATGAGAAAGAGTTTCCTTTTATTGTTAAAAGCGAATTTTTTAAATCAAACACAGAAATTATTTCGACAAATGAGTCATAAATCATCCATCATTGTGATAATTCCGAGTTCGTTGTTCTTAATTATCAATTCCTAAATAATTATCTATATTTGTGTTATATTATGTTATTATTTTTATTTCGTTAATTTCAATTTTATTGAATTTTTGAATATTATTTAACATCAATTATTATATTAACAGTAATATTATATCAATATGATATATCCTTCTGTTATTATTATTCTTTTTTTCAATTTCTTATTTATTAATCATGTTATTTTTTGTTTCATTAAAAAGTGCACAAACTTTTATTTCAGAATTTATAATGTACGTAACAACAGATTATCCTTTATTTCTTTTTTTCTTCAATTAAATTGAAGATATTCATTCCTGTAGAATCACACGAATGTGACATTATTCAATCACACGACAATTTTAAACTTTTACATTTTAATTAATTCGTCTCGTCCATAAATTATAATCATCGTGTTGCACTCTGATCCAATTCTAATAACAAATCGTTTTCCACTTCCACGACAATTGACCATGTATTCGTGCTAACAATTCTTGTTAAGAATGTGTCGCGTAAATTTTCTCCTCTTCGTGTTATTGTTCTTTCCATTTAACATGGTATGGACAACTGGTAATTCACTGCGTCCGGGTAAATTGGGTCGAGTTAGTCGGAATGTTGAAAAGACATTTCCAAGGGGTTTACGCAGAGAGAGAGAGAGAGAGAGAGAGAGACAGAAGTGAAGGTTTGTGACGTTGGTTTTCGCGAAATAGTCCGATGTACCACAGAAACTCGGCACTATTACGTATAAAGTTGTCGTAAGTTCCCCAGATTTCCCATTTTCCTTCTTCCTTTATCTTTGATTCTCGATAACACAACTAGATCTCGAGACCGTTCTGTACTCCCCTTTTGTTTTGCTTTCTGGATTACCAATTGTTTGAAAATACAGGCTTCGGCAAGTAAGATTTTAAACAAGTGAAATTTTAAAAAGCATACACACAATTTTTAGATTGTAAAATTTTGCAATCATTGGATTAGTTTAAGTTTTAAATTTCTAAAATTAGGTAATAATTCAATATATGTCAATAATAAATTTAATTATATAATAAAAATTTGCAATCGTGTTATTATTTTTGTAAACTATCGATAAAGAGTTATTATATTTGATATATTTGAAGAGTCAATTTTGGAAGCAGAATGAAAATAAATGCAAAAAGTTGTATTATATTTTATTATACAATTATCGGTTGATTGTATTTATGTCGATCGAGATTTATTATTTATTAAATTATAAACAATTTAAATTTATCGAAGCAAGAAGATGAATATAGAGACGATGTCTTTTTTTATTTAACACAAATTTTAATTACAATTTAATAAATAAGTTAACAAGTCAATCAAATTTTAAAAATTGCTCTGCTGATTTTATAAAATCATCGATTTCAAACAATTTATTAACATCTTGTACAAAATTGATATAGATTGTTAAAATAGGGATATCTAATCAATATTTCGTGAAAAATTTTTTTAATATTTCCAACGAATCGGATAAATTTCTATAAAAATTAAAATATTTCAAAGGACCGACAAAATGTTAATGTATTTTAAAGAAAAAAAAACGGTATTAACAATTATTTTCATATTAATATAGAACAAAATTCATAAAGAATCTGTATTTTAATGAATAGCTGTGCTGAAACAGAAATTCGAGAACGCGATGAAAATGCAGGAAAATATTTATTACTCGAAAAATGATCATCTCCAACGTATTTTCATAATTTGATTTGGAATTGCTGGAACAATTGCATAAAGTTTGCATCTACTTTTAACATCGGCCAATGATAAATGAACGATCAAGCAATTTATCGTAATTAGCTATTCCATGATCGCATGTTTTCGCATGTGATGTCTTATCAGATGCTGTCTTAATAACTGTTATAACAATCGTGGAAGGCGATCTATCTTGCGTGTATTTATCTCCAGATTATTCAACATTCGTCTCATCGTGTTTATCGACCGGTTGTTCGCCACGTTCCCTTTAATGCAAACGGCCTGTGTTAATTAGCCGGTTTAATCGGATCAGTGAAAATCGTAAAGTTTACACGACACCATGCAAAAAGATCGTAGATAATTTATAGTTCTATATAGTAATGGCAATTACATTGCACTTACACAATATCAAGAATTGCAAGGATTATATAGGAATCGTATGATTTTAATATTTAATTTTACGAAATTAATTAAATTTGATTGATCAACAACTTTTATCAATTATATAAATTCACTTATCACGCTTCCTCGTTTCATTCCTTTTACGATGTGTTAAGTAAATTATTCACATAATTATATAACTAAATGCCAAATAATTATTTATATCAATCAGAACAAACTACACAGTTCTATAATCTACGAGAATAACAAAAACAATTTCTAACAGATTAGAATTTGCAAGTTACAACTTGTGTAGTAAATTACGTGAATAAATAATTACATGGAATTGCATAACTATGTAATCACGTGCAATTCCATTCAATATCATCATCGATCTGTTATCGTGCATTTACATAACGCAAACGCTGGGGAAAATGAAATCCGACACGAATCATAATTAAACACGTTTCCCGGCAAACGTTCAACATCTATCCACGAAACGAGAGAAACAATCGTTCCTCTCGCGCATCGTTATCGTCCTACGAGCATTTCCGGTCAGGAGATCATCCCTGCGGTCTCCTCGGATCTCCTCCATCAAATTTCTTCGGCTTCACGATCCAGGTCGGGTCGATCGTCAGACGGATTTTCAACGGTGATCGTTAGACACGTAGGAACAAGTACCGACTGATTTAAGAAGAAAGAGGGCGAAAAAAGGGGGAGAAACGAGAGAAAGGAAGAGACTCGTCAACGCGTAATGGGCGAACGCCTTAAAGAAATTACTGCAAAGTGCACGGGAAAGTTTATTAAGCGATCCTGGCAAGAGAGCGAGGGCTTGGTGAACAATTTTCCCTTGGAAAGATTAGTTGGCGCTCTAATAACCTTGCAATGTATCTCGAAAAAAGATCTTGAACAAAAGGGAAAATCGATGGCGGCCTTCCAATTTCCTACGCCCTCCTTTTTGAAAATTCGCATAATTGGTTATTTTAACAAGATTGATGAATTAATTTTTCGCTCCAATTGCCCGATTATTTTTTTCCATACACCCTAGATTTTGTTTTTCGCGGTGGTACGAAATGGTACGAAAAAGGATCCATGTAATTTAATAAACTTAGGCAATTCTCACGAATATTTCTATCGTATTATTTTCGATCGAATTAATTGTATTATAGTTGATTG